AAATATAAAGTTTTCAATAATTATTCAAATTATTTCTAGTGGTATATCACTTTTCTATCCTTATCCATCTGGTATGGGGTTTCACAGCTTTCTGAACTTATTTTTAAGGCTAAACCATTATTCTAATAATAAATAAAAAAAATCTTGTTCTTTGAAATTTGGTTTAAATAAATTAAAGAAAAACAGCACACAACAGTTTAAAGTTTTTTTATTAGGATTTTGTCTTCACAGGATAAATAACACTCGAATAAGGCACATAGCGACTAAAGTTTACTTTGCTTTTAAATATCTATAAGGAATAAAACTTTTATGTTGGTTTCTACTATTTTCCTTAAGAATGTAGGGAAAAAAAACTCAACTGGAAAATACAGCAGTAACATACCAAGTTCAACAATCTAAAACAAGTCGAAACACAAAAAAGAAGGTAAAATCTCTGGCACAGCTCTAAAATCAACAGACTTGGAAGTAAAAACAATCTAAAACATTATTGTCACAATTTTTCTTAAGAATAAAATGATAATATTCAAGCATATGTGACATTTTTTTTCCGTTTAGTACAATGAAACTAACATTTAATAACTAGTTCAGGCAGATTAACTATGGAAGACTAAGGATAAACTTGTTTAAAAAAATATAGCAGCCACTATTTTAGCTTGTAGTGAGAGGCTTTCGGCTCATTGCAAAACATTTTAGTAGGAAACTGATCAGCTGACTGACAATGAAGACTCTGTACACAAAACTGCTGAACATTCTCCAAGTTGCACTTTGCGTTAAAAATTGGGTCATCTGTTCTCATATCCAGAAAGCAGGCTGTGGATTTCATCTGTGTCCATGAAGGTTTCAAAAGATCATCTGTTGTCTTAACTAAATTTGGAATATGGATTTGGCCCGCTTAGGCCTAGAAAAACAAAGAGAAACAGAAAAAAACAATAAGTAAAATGGTACATTAATTTTTCATAGATATTTAATCACTTGCATGGTTTTTAGACCTGGGCCTGAGTCAGGAGAGAGCAAGTAAGTAAATTTTATTTATAGCACCAAATAAACAGGTCAGAAACCACAAAGTGCTATACAGGATACAAGACAACAAAACACAAAAGATAAAGCAGAAGGAGATAAAACAACATACATATGACATAAGACAAAATAAAACTAATAAAAAAAAAGCCAATCTGAACAAATGTGTCTTCAGCTGCTTTTTAAAAGTACTGAGTTCCCATGCATGTGTCAAGAAGCAGCTCTAGCGTTCTCGACATGGATTTGAGATGCCAGTGACGATTCTACTTTGACAGAGAATCTGTCCCTGAAATGTTTTTAACATGTTCAAAATTCAAGAAACGGGACCGTGAGCCTATCCATGTAAGGGAATCGACAATCCCTGTAAACGTTTCAAGACATTATGTCAACTCTTTCGTTAATGCTGTTTGCCATTGTGTTACCAGCACTTGCAATCCAGTGAGAAACAAGTATACGGTAAAATACTAGTATGCAGGTATACAGTGAGACACTAGTAAACAATGAGACAATGATGCACTAGTATAAATTAATACACTAGCATACAGTGACACAAACGCATGCAGTAACACACTAGTAGCAGTACACAAGTACACCAGCGAGCCACTGGTACACAGGGATACAGCGAGACACTTGTCAGGGAATTTTGGTCAAGGTTTATGGATGTTTTTTAACTACTATGGCTGAAAATGTTAATTTCCCATGAATCATGTGTTTGAGTTAGCAGAGTTATTTTCTAAGAGAAAGTTGAATGAGGAGCTGACTTAATCCTGCATGTGCAGCTGGGTGGCCAAGGTCATCAGTGTCTGCCTGTGAGCTGCCAGGGCTGATAAGCTTATAAAAACAATTCTCGCACGCTGCCCTTGGCAGATTCTCGTGACTGAGCTCCATGCATGTAGAACTTGGGGAGAAATGGGGAATGGTGGAAAATTAGAAACTTAGAAATGGAACACTTAGAAATGGGGAGTGGTGGCGCAGAGGTTAGAGAAGGTGGGCCTGTGATCGGAAGATCGCCGGTTCACGCCCCGGTACCGACAACATCAAAAATGTGGGTGGGGTAGGTGAAGTACCCACATTTGCCCCAACCCTCATTCGCCCCACTCAAGGCCCTTAACGCCCCATCTGCTCCCTAAACAGGTCTCTCTTGAAAATGAGTTCTCGTAGCTCAATGAGACTACTTGTATAAATAAAGGGTAGATGAAAAAAAAAACCAACAACTTCTGTACATCTGTGTAACCTGTTGTGAAAGTCTGCCCTTGCAAGTAAAACCAGTTAAAAATCTTCTCGTGTCCTCGAGTGTGGCTTCTTTGAGTAAGTAAAATGAATAGAGGACATTTGTATTCAACTGTATACAAGGATACAGTGCCACATTGGTAAACACATACTCACCAAGATGCAGCTATACAGTGACTTACTAGTATGCAGTGACAAACCAGTATAGTGATACATTGAGATACTGGTATACAGTGACACTGTGAGATATTAAGCAGTGACACTGGGAGATACTAGTAAACAGTGATACTGTGAGCTACCAGTATTCAGTGATACACTGAGATACTAGCATATAGTGCTACCAGTATAGTGATATTGTGAGATGCTAAACTAGTACACAGTGACACTTAATACACAGTGATAATATGAGATACTGGTTTAAAGTGATATAGAGGGATAGTAGTATAAAATGATAATGTGAAACACTAGTATACAGTGATACTAGTATAGTGATACAGTGAGATACCACCAGTAAGACAATAGCTTGTCACTTTGCTGTTATGGACTAGCTGGAGACACAAAATTGCAAGAAAATAACACATTTTCACTTGATATGACCCTGAATATTCTTGAGTGAGGCCCAATAACTCATGCAAGAAGACAAGAACCCTTCCCAACATTGAGACATTTGGTAAACTCCCTCGAGAATGCCATTCACAATTTGACACCAACAGTCAAAACCCAGTGAGACACGTTTTCCCCCCCACAAAGCACAAACTCATTTTTATTTTCCTAATGTAGCTCAGCGAGAAAGTAAATGAGCACATTTTTTCCCAAAGTGTAAATTTTTTAAATCACTGTATTTGTCAAGGTATTTATTTTTTTTTCACATGATGCAACACTTTTGTTTTCCCTCACCCCCACCCCACACACAAACAGAATCACAGACATACGACCGTGTGTGGAAAAGTCAAACAACTCACCATATTTATCCCTGATGTCCTTGTGTCTCTGTTTCATCTCCGCCCTCCTGTAAATACAAAGCACCCTCCCGTGAGATAATGATATTCCTCTGACACATTCAGGAGTCACGGGGCCACAAACCAGTTTGGGCTAACACAATGACGTTTGCATTTTTCCTCCCTCATTACCTTTGTGCCACACAAGAAAACATACATATCGTGCACGACAAACAAGAGCCTCCGGTGCAGAACACATATTTAGGACTTCCTTAAAACACAAACTCAAGTAATGTGCTTTATTATCTGCCCTGATTAGAGCCATTTTATAATTGTTGAGCTAATGAAAGAACATATACATATTTAAAATATATAGTACTGTACAAGTCTGTAGGAAGTAAGTCCAAGAACAATAAGTCAAATATTGAACATTCACATAGTTCATAAAGGTAACGCTCACCTTTCTTCTTGCTTGGCTTTTGTTTTATTGGCGTGTCTCTGCATCTTGGCCTCAGATCGTTTGGATCTGTTGTATGAAAACAAGATCAGTGTGGAAATGAGAACACGCACAGTGTCTGTCTCCAGGAGAGTTGAGATATCCACACCACAGCTAACATGAAAATAAACGGGATGTGGATGCAGAAACAGCGAACCTAAGATAGGATCAGAATCTGATCAGGTAGGTCTGAAGGTGGTGGATCTGAACTTCTCACGACAGGCGTTCTGAACCAAATCTATTGAAGACAGATTGAAAATCTATTTGAGAGAGGAGTAAAGGAGGCCATCTTTGTGAAGCGAACCCGTGCATCATTAAACAGGGGCGGAGACCTCCGTGTTCAACTGTCCCCCTCTTACAATGCTGTTATTGCTAGTATCACTCAGCCCCCTGTGAATAGCAAGCGGCCTTCAGGGCGTTAACAATCAGTTGTTAGGCTGATGGTACTTCCTTTTGCATGTGAACAGCTAGTTTTGGCTGTCACGGCAAACTGGTTGATCCACTATGCGAAGGTGCTATTTATAAGTAACATGACTACCTTATGTCAACTCACCTGGAGGCCCTGTAAATTTGATGCTCTGCCCCCTCCCCTCCCACTGAGAAAGTCTGCGGACCTATCCGAAGGGCCCGGCTGAATGAACATTGTGTCATCATTTCAGGACTCTTGGATTCTCTCTGGCGCTGCCCTATATGTCGACCTCGGCACCCCTCGTTTGTTTACGGATCTCACCAGAGGGAACTGACTGATTGAACCATTCTCACCAGAACTCCTACAGTCCCTCTGGCGTGTCCTTGGACATGCTTACTGCTCTTGTGGTCTCCCCTCCCCTGCGGAATGTCTGCGTCACTCTGTGCCTATGTGCGGGGTGTTTTTTTTATCTCAGGCTGTCTCTCCTCGGCCAAAGAGTGAGAGTTTGATGGGATTTTTTTTGCCTCCAAATCCTATACATGTGGCACTTTCGTTACTTTTTGTCCATCTAAACAGGTCTCACTTGTAAATGAGTCTTCGAGGCTCAATGTGATTTATCTGTGCAAATAAAGGTCGAATGAAGAAGACTGTTTGCTGCAGCTCCTCAGACTGAAGAAGTCTTTCGGATAAAAGATGAAACGTTTCAACAAAGAACCCCATCCAGAGGACCTGACTCGCCTTAGACAAATCTCTTGCAGTATTATACACAAAACAAAAATCACAAAGCTAGAGAGCTAAACATTTGTGCTTCTGTCAAATTTCTTTTCCTGCAACCGTGTGGTGTCAAGCACGGCCTGCTGAAGACTCACCCAACGTTCTCACACTTGCAGCAGCAGAACATGCAGATCATGACGGCGATGATGAGAACTGCAACGAGCACTGACAGGGTGATGATCAACGTCTGGAAGTTCACTGCAGAAATGACGGCAAAGTTAAGTTTAGAGACCAACCAAGTTAAAAAAAAAAAAAACCCAACACATTCTTTCAACAAAATCGAACCAGAATCATAAATAAACTGAAATGTTCACCCACTGCTATTATTAGGCAGGATTTACAAAATGTAGAAAATCTAAACATCAAATGAACCGTGGAGTACTTAGAAATGAAAGACTGCTGGCCTGCTCTCATCTCTGTTCTTCTCTTCTTGACAGATGTAACTTTTGTCTTAAACCTCGGGAACTAGTTTGAGCTCTTAACTCCACAAAACCCTTTATCCACTCCCCTTTACTTCAAGAGGAGACATTATCTTTAGATAATCAGTTTTCTAGTCATGAACAACTAAAAACACGATTATTAACATATAGATCAGTCTTCTTTTATAAGGAAAACAAAGGCTATTAAATACCAAGTATTTCACATTTCCAATATTTCATATTTGACATTAGTGGTTTTAAATCTTGAAACCAAATAGAAGCTAAGGCACAAATAACATCCAAGTTTATTTACAATTTGATTAAATAAAGTGGATGATTAGAACACAGCCAGGTGATTAATACTGCCCACTGTCAAATGCCAATAACAGATTGTGTCTGTCTGTTAGCAAAATATCTAACGAACCGCTGGGCAGATTTTAATCAAACTTTCAAAAGCTAATAAATGCAGGCAGATCTATAATTGATTACATTTTGAAGTCAGTGCAGTTCAAGATGGTCGCCATAGCTGATCAGCCTATGCAAACACTAAAATGGCTATAACTCAGACAATTTTAAAGATGCTGAGCTAAACTTTGGTGTGGTAGTAGCTGAGAGCCATTGCCAGAACATACTTTGAGAGCAAACTGATCAGGCAAGCCCTGGCTGAATCGAGGGAGATTACGTCTAACTTGTCACAAAAGGCAGTAGACATATGTAATAAATGAACAAAGAGAAATGTTATTTAATTGAGTCATGAGCGTTTTCAGTGCATGAGTGTGTCTCTTACTCCAGCAGAGCCCCCAGCGAGCATCATTTAATGGACAGAGTGAATGAGGTGGAAGGATGGTCTTTGCTGGATACGTTAAACATTGCTTAGTTTTGATGCACCACAGGCACTGCAACGACAAAAGAAGGAAAAATGCACAGATTGACCTTTTAGTTGAAACATATAAAAGTATTCAGGTCAACAAAATGGAGGAGGAGGAGGTTGGGACTCTAGAGCAGTTACTGGTCAAACCGGTCTGACGGGTTTAGAGGAGGAGCTGTGGTTCCTCCAGTCCACTCACTCGGCAGAAATTCACTTACAGACACATTCTTCAGACAATCCTCGCAGCTCGTCGCGTTCTTCTTCTCACACTCTGTTGGAATAAACAGAATCAGTCAGTTCCAGAAAAAAGGAGGGTGTGACGTTGTCTAACTTAAAGTTTCAAACATCTATCATCACAAACATGAACAGCTTGGTAGAACACTCTCAAGCGGGGGAATAAGGGAGGTCTGTAGATTAGTATCTACTCAAGTGATTTTCTGTAACCACTCCTAATCCTCCTGAGACTTTTTTCTTTGGAGACAGAGCTGAGTAAACACAGACTCTGGAGCTGGGATTTTCAGTAAACAGTGGGTTTTGGAAACAGGTGTACACAGATGGAAACAGGTGTAAATGGGCATAAACAGATGTAAACTGATGTACAGGTGTAAACAGATGTAAACAGATGTAAACAGGTGTAATTAAATATGAACAGGTGTAAACAGATGCAAACAACTACGAACAGATGTAAACAGATGTAAACAGGTGTAAACAGGTGTACTTAAATATGAACAGGTGTAAACAGATGTAAACAGGTGTAAATAGTCTATAGTATGTAGTAGTATGTCCCTCCACGCTCCCTGAGGTCAGCGGACCAGTTGCTCCTCACAGTTCCAGGAACTCGTCTTAAGCACAGAGGTGACAGGGCCTTCTCTGTAGCAGGACCAAGACTTTGGAACGAGTTACCTCTGCTTGTCAGACAGGCCCCCTCCCTCTCGGTTTTAAAATCCTGTTTAAAAACTCACTACTATTCAGTAGCTTTCAACACAAGATGATCTGTGTTTTGAACCTGTACGCTCCACACTGGTTTGTCGTCATATTTATTATCTGCATCGTTTTTATGTCTATATTTTTGATTTACTTCATTTTGTATATTTCTTTGTGTGTTGTCTGTTGTTCTGTCTGTACAGCACTTTGGTTGGCCTTGTAGCTGTTTTAAGTGCTCTATAAATAAAATGGTATGGTATGGTATGGTAAACAGGTAAAAACAGGTGTAAACAGATGTAAACAAGTACGGACAGATGTAAACAGGTAAAAACAGGTGTAAACAGATGTAAACAAGTACGGACAGATGTAAACAGGTAAAAACAGATGTAAACAGATGTAAACAAGTACGAACAGATGTAAACAGATGTAAAAAAGTATAAACAGGTGTAAATATGTGTAAACAGGTGTAAATGGGCATAAACAGGTGTAAACAGATGTAAACAAATATGAACAGGTGTAAACAGATGTAAACGGGTGTAAACAAATGTGAACAGGTGTACACAGATGTAAACTGGTATAAACAGGTGTAAACAGGTGTAAACAGCCATTCCTGTCTTTTTGTTGAGACAAAAATAATTGGTGCTCAAATGAGAAATAAAAAAAAAAAGCCCAGATAAATCAGCCCGTTTTGCCTTTGTGTGTTAATGTAGTAGAAGAATGAGACAAAGTTTAAATTCCTTTCATTATGTTGAGATAAATCAGTTTGGTGATCAACTCGTTTGTTTTGTCTCAGGAAGCTCGCAGGCCAAATTATAATCCCTGCGCAAATTTTACACCAGATTTTGTGTTTAAAACAACAAAAACAATATTAATACTAAAACATAACCACACAATTTCATGTGACAAAGCACCATACAAATACAAGCACAAATACACCAAAACTGACTTCTCTTGACAGTTTCATATTTTCATTCCTACCGTCGTCTGTAAAAACTGTCGCCAAGCCGCAGATCAGAAGAAGCGCTGGGAATAAAACCCGCAAATCCATCATGGACACGCCGCAAAGAGGCTGATAATTCACGAGCTGCTGGTAAATTTGAACAGATTTGACGAACAACAAGAAGTCGAGTCTGCTCAGGTCGACAGGAGAAACCAGAAAAGCGAAGTTGATAAGGAAAAGAAAAACACCGCAAACTGTGACGCACCTCGTGACGCAGCGCAGACGGAGCGGAACGAACGGTGCGCATTTGATTTCCCCATCCGTGCCTGTCACAAATATTTAGCAAAACATCTTAAGATTACTGCTGCTTTAAAAATTGGCTGATTTTTAAAGTAAACTAAAAGAAAGTTGTGAAATGGAGCGATTGGAGCAGTTTACGTTAAAGTAAAGCTATGAGCGTTTCTCACGAGATATCGCGAGATTTCACGCTCAAAGTGTGTGTTGCAAATGACTCTCAGCTACTGTCACGTATCTGCAAGTCACTGAGTTTTTGCTGTTTTAGTTGCCAAATGTTAATAATGTGTGAACAAACCTGTAACCTCCTGGGACCAACTTCCAGTTTCTGTCCATGAAGCTGACACATCGTCTTTCCTTTTTGATAAATCCTATAGTTAGTGTCGGCTTGGGTTTCCTGAGCTGTCCCTTAGTTATGCTGCTATAGGCTTAGACTGCTGGAGGACAAACTGACCACATTTTGTCACTCTGCTACTGTCTTTGCTTACTCTGCTCAACCAGCGTGTCTTTATCCGCTTCTTGTTTTTTGGGTCAAAGGGGTCACTGGTGCCCATGTCCAGCAATCACTGTGCGAGAGGCGGGGGACACCCTGGACAAGTCTCCAGTCCATCATAGAGACAAACGAGACAAACAACCATTCACTCTCTCACCTAGAGACAATTTAGAGTTACCAATCAGCCTAACATGCATGTTTTCGGTCTGTGGGAGGAAACTGGAGTACCTGGAGAAAACCCACGCAGCACGGAGAGAACAGGCAAACCCCACCCAGAAAGGCCCCCAGACCAGGATTTGAACCAGGGTAACCTGTGCGCTGAGAGGCAGCAGCTCTACCAACTGTGCCACCGTGCAACTCAAGTGTTTATTAAATACATCTGAACCTGTCATTCTGTTTGTTTCTCCTTCCTGTCCTCTCAAACCCAACCGGTCAAAGCAGATGGCCGCTCGTCCTGAGCCTGGTTCTGCTGGAGGTTTCTTCCTGTTTAAAAGGGAGTTTTTCCTTTCCACTGTCTCCTTTGTGCTCGCTCAGGATGGGAAACTTTGACGAAGTGAAGATTCAACACAATCTGCTGCTTCCTTTGATAAATAACTTTTACTAACTGCTTTCATAATGTATGTGAATCTTTCTGTTCAGTGCCCTGAGACAACTTCACTTGTGACTTGGTGCTATATGAATAAACTGAATTGAACTGGAAGTTTAATTTAATTTTTTCAACCAGTTTGACAAGACTGTCAACAAGGAAGAGGGCCGGCAATGGAGGAGGGGGCATGCCAAAGAGACCATCTTATCACAAGCAGAACTGGTTTGTTCCACTTTGGAGTCAGCTGTTGGGGGAAGAATCAGTTCTGTTGTGTGTTTCCTTGACTGATGAAGCCTTCTGGATAGAAGGCGAAACATTTCAGCACAAAAAAAGAAACTGTCCAGATGACCTGACTGAAAAATGTTGGTTTAATTTAATTTGTGTGTTTTATGTGATATTTCGGCAACAAACAGTCTTCCTTCGTCTTTTGGCAGGGAGCGATAAAAAGAAAACTATAAGTCCACTTTTTTTCAGATGAAGCACCTGTTGTGCAGCTTTAAAGCACCAGAGACGTAGTTTAAACAAATTTCACAGATTCTATTTTATTTTATTTCTGTCTTCTCTGTGTGTCTGGAATAAGAACAAAGGAGCCGTTAAACAGCGGACAGTTTCCAATAATTTATTAAAGCATAACTTTGTAAAGCCAGTTACAGTTAAAAAAGAACAACACACACATATCTCTCTCTTTCTCTTTTTTTTTTTTTGTTCCAACAAGCACAATGAATCACTGTTAATGAAGATAATAAGCAGAAGTGAGGAGCGGGCCCCATGGCCGCCTGCGGCTGATAACAGGAGCCCTTTGAGAAGAAGTTGCCCTTAAAGACAGACGGGTGATCAGATTCTTCCGGCCCTTTTATGGTTTTATTGTTTTATTCAACCTGATCACCTTTCAGCAGCTACACGGGGAGTTCTTTAAATCAGTGACGGCGATGAACTAAAACAGATTGCTCATTATGGCTTTTTATTAATTTGTGAGCCAAAGTTCTTTTACTGGAACCATTGAATGATTTCTGATCATCCAGCTTTGTGTGGATCCAGTCAAGAGTGTTATAATTGAATGGTGGCATATTATAAAGTCCATCTAATTAAAAAAATAATAATTTAGTGAAGGTTATATGTTGAATTCAGTCATTTCTGTCACATATTTGTATTTGAGCTCATTATTTTCTTAAAAATGTATGAAAAACATGTGTATAGATTTGCTTGAATAACTGAGCTGTGATGAGCCTTTAATTTCCAACCCCAGTAGTTTTAAATAATTGCTAAAGCTCTATACAATCTGTTGTGCTTAAACAAACAAACAAACAAAAAGTTTAAAAAAAAAGAAAGAAAAGCAACATGTTTACCTCAAACAGTACATCTTTTTAATCTTCTTATAAGATCTGAAGTCAAACCTCTTATTGCCACAAAGGAAACAATAAAAATTTAAGATAGTTCAGATCTTTTGGAGCAGGGTTTGTAAAAAGATTATGAACAATAAATATCTTACCTGTTGTAGATAGCTCTTTGAATTACCTCAGCTCAAAGAAATTAAGATCCAAGACTAAAGTGGATCATTTCCAGCTTAAAATAATTCTAATTTCAAAGGTTTCTTGGCGACTCATGCTGTTTCATAAACCTTTACAATCTTGTCAGTTTTACAGTATTTCATAATTTAGGTATAAATATTATGATATTCATGCTGAAAGTGCCCGAAGAGCACTGGAAGTGTTACAGCTAGCTGCTGCCGCCGCAGTCTGCGCCTCCCCATAATTACAGAGTATTATGTAAATACCATCCATCCATCCATCCATCCATCCATCCATCCATCCATCCATCCCTCCAATCCATCCATCCATCCATCCATCCATCCAATCTATCCAGCCAGCCATCCATCCATCCAT